GATAGGAGTGGGAGAATAGAGATACAGAGATAGGAGTTGGAGAATAGAGATACAGCTGTATGGGAGTTGGAGAATAGAGATACAGAGATATGAGTTGGAGACTAGGAGATACAGAGATAGGAGTTGGAGACTAGGAGATACATTTGACTAGTAGAAACATAGGACTAAAAGATACAACACCTTTTATTCAAAACCCTTTAAGACATGAAGAAATTTTGAAAGCTGCTAGGTTTATGAAAGGAAGTGTATTGAGTAAGGTTTTGAAGGTTTAGATTTCTAAGTTAAATTCTACAAGAGTATTCGTATAATCTAATTTCTTAACAGCCCTTCACGCTCAGTATAGAATTTACTTTATTAAGTTGCAGGGAGCTTCGCATACTTTTTCTACTTTTTCTGTATAGCAAAAATAATAATCGACTATATTTTAGGCAAAATGTTGCAATTTTGATCGGCCATATTCTTTTTTTGCATATTAGTCTCCACAAAAAGTTTTAAAGCCCGATGGGTTCAGCCGTTTAAACGTTTATTGGACACAAACAAACAAAAAGACAAACCAACAAAGAAGCCAATTTTTTATAATACTAGGCTTTTAGGGCGCTTCGCGTCCATCATCTATTTAAATTGTGAACATGTTCTTTTTGTTTACCTTTTAAAACAAAGAAAAAAATTTCGCGGATTTAAAAAAAAAATCGTGGATTTTCAAGAATTTAATTTTTTTTACAAAATTAAAAACCTTTAAACCTGTGATCAAGTGATGTCCCACAAAAAAATTTGGGCCCGATCAGTTCAGCCGTTTTGACGTTTATTGGATACAAACAAACAGACAAACACCCAAACAGACACCCAGACAGACAAGTCAAATTTATATATAGAAGAAAGATTTAGATGTACCTTGCTGAATCTGACCTTTCTTGGTTGTAAATTGTAATTTTTTATTTCTTTTCTTTCTTTATAATACAATAAACTTATTCTGCTAATCAACATCCATTAAAGAAATTAATTTCTCACTTGTAAAAACACTTTCTTTTAACCAATCAAAGAAAAAGCTCAAGAATTTAATTAACGCAAATGAGCATATAAAAGTTCGTAATGGAAACCTGCAATGTGGTCGCGTGTTTACACTAATTAAGTATTCCATTTTAAATGGGCTATATACCTGATTTAAAGTGAATCTGAAATGGGCTATAATTCTGACTTAAAGTGAATTTGAAATGGGCTTTAAATCTGATTTAAAGTGAATTTGAAATGGGTTATAATCTCATTTAAAGTTAATTTGAAATGGGCTATAAATCTGATTTAAAGTTAATTTGAAATGGACTATAAATCTGATTTAAAGTGAATTTGAAATGGGCTATAAACCTGATTTAAAGTAAATTTGAAATGGCCTATAAACCTGATTTAAAGTAAATTTGAAATGGGCTATAAATCTGATTTAAAGTGAATTTGAAATGGGCTATAAATCTGACTTAAAGTGAATTTTAAATGGGCTATAAATCTGACTTAAAGTGAATTTTAAATGGGCTATAAATCTGATTTAAAGTGAATCTGAAATGGGCTATAAATCTGACTTAAAGTGAATTTGAAATGGGCTATAAATCTGATTAAAAGTGAATTTTAAAGAGCTCCATTTGTTTCTATTTATGTAATCCTTTTTTCCCTTTAAATTATTTCTAGCCTTGTATTCTTCTTGTCTACTTTTTTTAAATACATGTTGAAGTTTATGAACTTTAAACAAACGAGCAAACAGTAAAAAAAATACAGGGGACAAAAGTTCCAACCCATGCATTTGGCGTACCTTACCTGTCAGGTTTTAAACAATTCATAGCTTGTGACTTTCTTCCCCTGAAGTCTCTATATATATTGGTATCTAAACTCTAAGCTCTACAGTGTATCTGATTACTCGAGCATTAATTCTGAACTAATTACTGAGAAGTAATTAGTTCACTTCTCTTAACTTCATAAAGGGACGAGGCACAGTTAAAATATATAGAATTCAAATTCATAATTATTTACTAAAATGTTTTCAAATTCCAATTAATTAAGGTTTTTTCGTAAGCAATAGGGCACTGAAATCCAAACAGTAAAGTTGACTTTTTTTCGTTAAAAGTTAAATAGTTATCTAGAAACGAATCCAATTCTTTAAATATACTTTTTAAACTAAATGTATCTTTCAAATTACTTAAATTTTGAATGCCCCTCCCTCTTTTGATTATAACAATTAAAGACTATCAAGGATCAAAGGAAAACATGTTTTTAAATTTTTCCATATTTGAAATATCGATTTATTGAACAAAGTATGGAAAAATAAAACTTTTTGTTTCTATTTTCTATATTTGTCTGCGCGTGAAGTTTAATAAGTTTTAAATAGTTTGAAATATTCCCCGCCTTACTTTCAGTTTATATATCTATATATATATGCATAGATCAATATATCAGTTTTTAATATTATTTATCAAACATAGAATAAATATTTGAAATTCAGTCTGCTCTGCATAGTAGATTTTTAAAAAGTAGTTTTTTGCAACCTGATGATGCAAACCTTTGATATTTCAAACTTAGATTTTTTGATCAATCAAACAGAAGTCATAGTTTGAAATATTCCAAGGTCTAATGAATTTGAGCTGCGTTATTGAACAACTGCCAGTTCAACTTGAAACCACCGATTCAAAGTTGAACATTTAGAGCCGACGAAAGACAGTTCAAAGGAAATGAGTTTTTGCCACAGACTCTAAGTATTTCCCCCTATATCTTAGCAATCCGATGTCGTAGACCTTAGATATTTCAAACCATAAATTATAAAGATCAAATAATCAAAGTTTGAAATATCATCGGTTTACACCATCTGTGATAGATTTCGGGGTTAGAAAAATAGCTTTTGTGACAAAGACTCCTTTATAGACTTCGATCCCAGGTTGCAAAGATATAAAATTTGAGATTGTGGCAAAGACTAATTCCTTTATTTGCCACAGGGTTACCAGTGCGACCTGGTGCTCTTTTGACTTCTCAAGAACGGACCTGGAACCTTTCTTTGACTGGATGGATTTAATTTTGAATGATTAAGAAAATATTTATTTTGGAGGGAGGGGGGGGCAAATCAAAAGTGCCTCTAATTCCTCCGGCCGGAGAAGAGGGGGGGGGGGTTACAATTTTATAAACATGTCTTAACATGGCATGGCTATAGAAAATCAGAGGAGATCGATGATTGTTCGTATTTAGTGCACAGCCCCTTTAATTCCTAATTGGGAAACTATAAATTTCTTCTACTGCAGTTTAATGAAATAATTAAATACATTTACAACATCCGTGTATCTTCGTTACCTTAATTAATAAATAAACTAAAGGCAAAAAAGAAACATTTTAGGGCATAAATAGATTTAGATTAATTATTTATCAATTTTAATTAGAAAATATGTTCGCGGTCTTTTGAGGAAAACCAAAAAAAAGAATTCTTTCAGTTTTATCTTTCAAATAAAATAACTTTTTGGTATATTAATAAAGCCGTCGTATAGAGATCAACATTTTTAAACCATATCGGCGGTAATTTTATTTCTATTCGATGGGGACGGTTGAATATCACAGATAAATCGAATAGAAATTAATTTTTGTTTCAAAGCTCTATGACAACTTAGAAAGCATAGTATCTGTGCAAAGCTGGGTTTCCAAACTAGTTACAAATTAAACATACAGAGCTGAGAGATATTTAGGTAAATGAAAAAGAAGACGACAATTATTAGACAGTTTTTGGTTTCTTCTGTCTGCTGATGAAGTTATTTAAATTAATGAAGAATATTGAGCAACTTACACTTACTTAAAAGAAGGAGAGAAGTTTTTTACAATGTTGTTGTTTTTTATTTACCGCCAGCTCATGAAAAGAAATTACAAAGTTTATATAACAGTCATTTGTAGTTACAAAACTAAAACAATTAATTATTTTGATAAAAACTTAATTATATTTTTCCTTCATGGTAAACAAAAAAGACACAAGATGTGTTAAATTAAGCATTTTTTAAGATACGTCGTCTTTAACCTTTGCTTTCTCAATTTTAAAATTGAAAGCGAGTGTTAAGGGCGTACACAGAAATAAATCTTGGGGGGTCGAATATGCGCGGACCCCCCCCCCCCCATGGAGCTCCCAGTGGGGGGGTTACAATTTGAACTGTAAATTCAAAACGTTTGGCTTCTTGGATACTTTAAAGGTTCACATAAAGTCCAATTACCTTGCAAGTATATACATATACTTTATCCATCCTACAAACAAAACTAGCAGAAAAAAAAACAGCAAACTAACTTTGTTATGCTCTTCACTCTTCAGTTTCAGATTTGAAAAGTGTTTTAGCTCTGAGTTCTAGGGGGGGGGGGACTATAAGCCCCCCATTACAGGTCTAGAGGGGCACTGCCCTCCCTCCCATGTGTACACCCTTGTAATAAATTTTAATGTAGAAGATATGGTTGATTTCACATCTTGCTATTTCCTTTTTTCTGTTGTATAAATCCGTAAGTAACTTTTATGAAGAAACCAGAACGGGAAATTATCAACTTTGAACTAAAAAACAAGGATATCTGAGAAATTTTCTCGTAGACGATAAATACGTTGTGAACCGGACATGCCCCTCTTTTTAAACAAATAAACCACCCAAAATTACGTAGACAGTCCCTTTAAGTACGAATTAACTTTCCGTTTTTACTCTTCGGTTCGACATAAATTATATTTTTGGGTCGACATAAATAGTATTTTCGGTTCGACATAAATAGTATTTTCGGTTCGACATAAATATTATTTCCGGTTCGACATAAATCGTATTTCCGGTTAGACATAAATAGTATTTTAAGAATTGCATAAACAAGTTTTTAGGTAACCGATGCAGTAAATGTATGATTAAGCCTACATTATGCATTGAAATATTTTTATTGGAATTCTCAAAATCTGGGTTTTTAAATTATCTATTAAATAACCATCTCTTTTATTTTCTTCTCTTATCTGAATGAAAAACTGATTTCTAATGATATATGTTGGGTTTATTAAACTACACAAAACTGTTAAATGCGGAACATTTATACTGATATGGTTCGATACAAACGATATGATGAAAACATTGATATTCTTGTTTGAAAATTGTATTTATTTGCTCAAAAAAACTATTGTGGTTTCAATCCTAATTAAGTCATTAATTCATAAATAAATTTGGAACAAAGTTGTGTAAAGTTGGTTGAAAAATTGAATATCCTATTTACTCCAGCCTGTGCCTTTAATTCAAATTTCAATTTTTCTCAGAATCTCCCGCAAAAACTATCTACAGCCTTAAATCACAGCCTTTTTGCACGCAGAATATCTGCAATATGTTGCAGTATAAATCTTTAAAATGTCAAATTATCTAAGGGATAAATAAAAAGAAAGCGTAAGGACACAAAACCGTGAAATTGTATGGTTTTGATTTTGTATCCTTTACGTTAAAAAACAAAACAAAAAATATTAAAAATAACAGGTTTATCAAATGGAGAGTTCATGTCTACTCTTGAGGCCATAATTCACCCTTTGTTCCCTCCGTAGAAATAGTTTTGAAGAATTCACAGAATTGTGCATTTTCCAATTGTTCTGAAGAATTTTCTGTTCGGATGAACCGACAGGGTTTATTGCTCTGGGTTTAGGAATTAAACATGGTTCAGGTTTCTCTTCTTAATATCAGCAATCATCCCCATCATATATTCCTTACTCTTGACACTCCCGGTAACAGTCCGGAGATCCTTGATTTGAACCTGGCTCTGGATCTGCTCCGGGATTCCGGGTATCGGAGTAGACCCGGAGAAATCTGTTGCTGCGTATGCATAAACCTCCTCGTGGAAATTTGGTGGGAGTGTTGGCCATTGAGTTCTTCCAACGGTTCCCCGGGTAAACTTTGGCCGACTCGCTGTGCTCGCGTGTCCATCACTGATATGTGTATGCCTGGAGATGTCTGTAAGGTGTGTATGCCTAGAGAGTTCTGAACCACCTGGAGAAGTACTGGCAGAGCTGGTGTAGATCAAGGGTCTAGACTCAGAGAACCTACTTGAACTTTGACGGGACATCTCACTGTGCGCTCTATGGTCGTCGTCCGAAAAGTCTGAGATATTTTGAAGATCACTGTTTGTATTCTCATCTCCGCTGGATGGTTGGGATTTATTTATCTGTTTCGCCAGGGTAGAATCTTGTTTAGGATTGATCTCATAGTAAATATGTCCATGTGGAGATATGGCTCGGAGAACCACATCGCCAGGATTAATCCTTGAACCCCGGTCAGCTAGAGGAAGACAGCTCTCCTGGACATTAATCCCACAGGTTCTACGACAGGGACCAGGGTGACCAAGATCACATCTTTTCTTTCTCAAGGTAGCAGTCAGCCTGGCTAGCTGGGGGTTCATGGTTCCATTCATGGAGTCCACCTCCCCTTCTCCGCTCTCCTTCATCATCTTGTTCAGGTTGTCCACCAGCTGGGAGCTGTAGGGGTTCAAGGTCACCATCACGGGCTGTCCGTTCTCCAGGTTCGTCTTGTAAATGTTGGGAAGGATTGTCATGGTTCCGTCCTGATCCTGGATTACGAACTCAGGTCCTTTCCCTCCTCCTGGTGCCAGGTTTCTCTGCAGGTTGCTCTGTAACATAAATATAATTAATACATGAAGTTTATTTATAGTTTCTTTAACCATGACTCCGTCAGGTTTAAACTGCAATTTAGTCCCGTTATATCGTGATAATTTAGCAAGCTCGGTTAATCTTTGAGCTACACTGTTAAAGAAAGCATTATTTTGGCATAATTTGTCATTTACGGTCGCCTACTCCCATCCATATTCACTCTGTTAGTTTACAGGGGGAACACACAAAGTAAATTCTTACTACAGGGTGGGACAGGAAAATAGTTCCAAAACAAGGAAACATACTGTAAGTTTACAGTGGGGAACACACAAAGTAAATTCTTACTACAGGGTGGGACAGGAAAATAGTTATAAAACAAGGAAACATGCTGTTAGTTTACAGGGGGGACACACAAAGTAAATTCTTACTACAGGGTGGGACAGGAAAATAGTTATAAAACAAGGAAACATACTGTTAGTTTACAGGGGGAACACACAAAGTAAATTCTTACTACAGGGTGGGACAGGAAAATAGTTCCAAAACAAGGAAACATACTGTTTCAAATTGTGTGCGGGTGTGAGAATGAAGAATTCTGGAATTAGGTTGAAATTGTCCAAGCAATATTTCAAATAGTCGGACAGGCGGGAAAATTAAACATTTCACACCAAACCAAACTTTTCATTTATTGTTGAATCAAAGAGAATAAAGGAGCGCGGAAGGAGACAGAAGACAGGAAGCTCATTAATCAACCATTGCCGTGTCAGTCCTTTTACACACAACTATACTTTATAAAATATCACAAATCTCAAGGTTTTTTAAGGAAAAATTAGGTTTTTATGCCTGGGTTCACTTGAGCAAACATTTTCAATAGAAAATATTCACTGTAAATATTCAACAGTTTCTTTTCAGTGTATAAAAGAGGACCTGGAGAATGATTGAAACCTCTGAATAGATTGGTCCAACCTCAAAGACAGATAGGAAACGTATTGTATGGGTTCGGACTGACTAACTCCAGGATTAGAATTTAGCTTGACGAAGAAATGTTCAAGTTTCGGAAACTATATTTCTCCGTCAATTATGTTAGTCTACAAGGACGCAAAGTTAACAGTATTGAAAAGGAAAACCCAGCGGGATAAACTAAAGAATAAAGAAGAAGGAAGTATAATGGGTGAACCTACTAACTAGGGTTTAAACTAGTGACCGTGTGTCTACTAGGAGCAATGAATGTATCATTGAAGAGTACATATTTGTTGTAACTGATCCCCTCCCCTCTACCCTCACTAATGTAAATAAAAGGAAAAGGATGTAAACTGTATACACAAGAGGATATTTAACTTTAAACAGTCCCTTTCCTCTTCTATACCAAACTAAAATAGGGGGGGGGGGGGGGGTCAGATTTTTTCCTCGGGCAAGATAGAATATTTTCCGACAAATTGTCAGCTTTTATTTGAGGTAAAATCTTCCACAGGCCTTCAAGTATGAAATTAGAAAACGTAAAAATGATGTATTTATGCAATGTATAAGCTCCCAGAAAATTCAAAACATAACTCTTCATACAATAAATTCCCTATCTAGCAAAATATTCATAAAATCCGGCATTAAATTCAATTCTTTTATGTTAAACATGATGTTGGCAAAATCCTGGCAGCAAAAAGTTTGATCTGGGCGTGAAATATGTAAATGAGATTACTCACATGAAGCGTATGGTGGGTTTCGGAGATATTAGTAGGCAGAGAAACAGATTTTGGGTTGCAGACGTGTTTCTCAGAGCTCTGGGAAACCTTGCACACAAACCGAACCAGACCACGACGAAACTAAAACAAAATTAAAATTAGTTTGAGGTTTAAACAGGTCAGAGTGGAACTCTTTTTGTGTAAATTTGGGAAGGGGGAGTAGGAAAAGTTTAGGGCTGTGTGAAAAACTTGTTTTTAATCCGGGTAAGAAAATCTACGAAATTTGTGATAATGAAAATTAGGAATTTGAATTTACATACATTCAAAAAGTTGTTGGGTTAAGGTTGCATGTGAGTAGGTTGAGTTGTGAGTATAGTGTGCGTTTTTATAACTCAGTGTATCTGTCTCACCCTATAATATATGATGCAATGAAATGTTTGAAAGCCTAAGAATAATAGGGTAGAATAGTGTAGAATAGGATCCCCTGTGGATAAAAAGGGAGAAAATGCTCTCTTACCTTGACTAGGATAAGGACCACACAGATTACAGAGATGGCCGCAACAATATACGTCACGATCTGGAGAGTCATGATAGAAAACCCAGGTGTAGCTTCAGCTCCGGGTACTCGGGACACCAGGCCGTACACTGACATGTGGTCGCATCTACATCTGGAGACAGATAGGTTGGATTCTATCAAGGAACATCCAGAGTCGGACCAATAACCCAGCTCCGGGTTCCAGGAAACGCAGATGGGATCAACATTCTCCTGAGGCTCTAGATGGTGAAGAGTAACTTCAACAGTGTCAGGAAACTGGATTCGACGGTTTCGTCCAAAGGAAGCTGAAACAAGTCTAGAATTGAGTCTTAACGGCTCCTTTCCAGTAGTGGAGACAACAATGTTTGCTGAACCAAGGATCTCATGAACATTAGTGAAGGAGAAATGAACCAGTTTGATGATTCCGCTCCGGGATTGGTCCCACAGGACGTTGAATGGGAGCAGGATAGAGTTCTCTCCGTCCTCATCTCGTCCCAACTCCGTTCCATTACTGAGTCGTCCCACGTCTTGTATATTCACGCTCATATCTAGAGAGAAGAAAAAACATGAGATTAAGAACTTAATTACAGGACTACAACACAGCTAAAAGTATCAATTTAGATTTAATCTCTACCCAACCTCAGCTCCGGGTTAATAAATCATAAAGAAACTAAAACCAGGACTAGGTTTGGCAGATTCCAACCATCTGGTGTATACAGATATAGGAATATTTAAACCTAGAGAATAATTGAAATATTCGTCGCAAATATATCGGACTTAGATATTTGAGAAAGATTAAAGTTTTAAACCAAACCTCATCCATGCAGGGAGAAGTTAAAAAGAAATTTTGTCAACCCCAAACCTAATAGAAAATTAACCCAATAATAAATTACTTACATATATTTTTAGCTGACTCCATGAGAATTTCCTCCTTGTTTGTTACTTCAGCAAAAAGAAAAGAGTTCTCTTCTAAAGCTTGAAGAATTGAATTAGCCGCCTTAACTTGTCTTGCTGGGGATAGATCCTTCCAGGCGGATCTATTGGAGATATCCACCAGATTACTGGCTGAACGAACCATGTTGAGTAGAACCTCTTGGATATAGATCCCTTTATTGTAGAACGTATCTCCCTGTGTCTGGAGAAGGTACTGGATTCGGTTCGACAAAGTTTTCATAACAGCAGCGCTTTGTTCAATATCTCCTCCGTACAAGGATTCCGTCCTGCTTAGGTGTGCAAGGGAGGAGGAGATCACGTTCTCCAGGTCCCCGGACTGAACCTTTGCTTCAAGTCTTGACATGGAGACAGTTTTACAATCTCCCATATCAGGCTGCTCTGTAGACCAGAATATAGGTGAGGACTCATCAACAGGAGAGGAACAGGACCAACGAGCTAATCCAGTACTACCTGGAGGACAGGGTTGGATAGAGGTTTCTCCAGCAGCTGTCCAGTTCCAGTGGAGGTTCCGTGAGATAACTGGAGGACAGTGTAGAGGTTGATCCTCTAGAGGAATATCAACAATATTTACTTCAATATCATTAACAGGGCTCAGGTGATAATATTCCATTCCTTCAGGTTCGGTAGATAACTCCTCGTCGTCCTTCTCAACCATCTTCTCCACTGGAGAGGAAGATGTGGAAAGCGTTGTTGTGGTTGTTGCGGCTGTGGTAGAGGGTATTGTTGTGGTTGTGCTGCTTGTAGTTGGCGTTGTAATAGGTATTCTATCCAGGATTTCATCACCAGTTTGTGGTTTAGTATCAGAGTCAGCGAACCCTTCTGGTGGGTCTGGAATACGTGAATCCCATAGTGCATCTCCACCCCCTTCTAGGAACCAGGGAGGGAGAGGTTTAGCTGTGGTGGTCGTGGTGGTTGGAACACAACCGTAGTGCACCTCCAGGTATTTAGGAGTATTAGGACAAGGATCTCCGAACAGACTGGAGCTGATCTGGATTGAACAACTGTCCCTACTGTCACACCTGAAATTAAACATCTATCAAAATAAGAAGAGATCTGAAGGTTAGGACGGATTTATATAGAGAGAAGGGTTGAAGATGGATTTATGGATGATAGAGCGGTGAATGGAGATGGGAGGGGGGGGGAAGGGGGTTGATAGAAAATCCATCCAATCTAAGAGGTGAAAATTAGAAATTCCGTCTGTGTAAATAAAAGCTTCTGAGGCTTTAGGTAAACATCAGGGAGAGCAGTATAAAGGAATATTTAGATAGATAGATAGAAAGATATTCATATATAGATAAATAGATAGATATATAGGTAGATATTCGGGAAAAATAGATAAATTGAATATGGACGGGTCACGTAATATTGAATATCATGCACATACGAGATATTGGAGAAAAAGAATGATTAAAAGACTGCTTTGCCGAGGACAAGCTTTAAAAGACATGGAAAGAAAAGGACGGACGGATAGGTTTGTCTAGACAGGACGGATAAAGGACGCCAGGACGGACAGATTTCTCCGGCTCATGAGAAGCAATTTTCCCATGCCCCGATAAGATTGTGTGGGAAGTTTAGATAACTAGAAATTCAAGGCGCTTCGCGCCCTTCTTTCTAGCCTTAGAGGGCGCTTCGCGCCCATCTCCTAAATTAATTGTGAACATGTTCTCTTTGTGTACATCGTAAAACAAAACAAAAATAATTCGCGGATTTTCACAAAGAATTTCGCGCATTTTCAAAATTTTAAAAAATTTAATGACGATCGAATTTTGATGGAGACAAATATTTGAAATTTTGATGATTCATAAACCTTCCCTGGAGTCCCTAGATGTCCCACAAAAAATTTGGGCCCGATCGGTTCAGCCGTTTTGACGTTTATTGGATACAAACAAACAAACAAACAGACAAACAAACAGACAGACAAGCCAAATTTATATATAGATGCAGGCAATCAGACAAAAACTTAGAAATCAGACACAGACAAATCGACATTCACACAGACACTGATATATTAATAGACACACAGGCAATTTAACGGGCAAATATTTTATGGTAAAAAGACAGAAATCTGATATTTCAACGGTTCGCCAGGAATTCTCTAAAAAAAGGTTGAATTTTGTCTAAAAAGCTTGAGAACATGGTTTCAAAGTGTAAACTGTACACAAACCATACTTTGCTAAATACCTTAGCTTGGAAAAACTGTCATATTGAATCCATGTTTTGGGACGAACAGAGAGGGGAGGGAGGGGTCACGAAATAATTTAACAAGATTCAACTAGAACCCCCCCCCCCCCTCCACCCCCTGGATTATGGTATCCTATCATCTATTGATCTATTTTTGTATAATTTGGTTTCTAACTTACGTTTATTAAAGTCCTCGTGCACGCAACTAAATATAAGCGTGTGTGAGGTGGGTGGGCCGGGTCCGGGGTAGGGAGGGGGGAGGGTTAAGTATAAACAAGTATGATTGTAGATACAGACTTTACTAAATTACATGGTAAAAGATTAGAACCTCTCTCTCTAGGGTTAATTGGAGAAAATGTTTAGGGAGTCGGATTCAGTTTCACATGGCACCTCCCCCCCTCTCTTCTTGTTGGGCCCACCCAGTCTCCCCCCCCCCCCCTTGGGTCACCGTTCCACCCTCCTCCACCCCCCGGCCTGTATCAAAACACTGGTCAGAAATTCTATCTCTTAAGATCATATCTAGAGATTTATAGGACAAGAACCAAGCGGTCCCAACACTAGGCTTCGAGTAAACCTTAGTTTTTCGACAAATATCGATGAAATATTTAACAATATAATTCAAAATGTAGAATTCTTTCTTAGTTCAAATTTACAAGTTCTTTGTTATGTATAAATAGAACTGAGTGGTTTGCTATGGTTCGAATATATAAAAGAAAGAGAGAGAGGTGGGGAGGGAGGGGGCTAGGTTGGCTAGGTTCGGTATTTCGGAATAGCCTACTCCCTAAATCCTAGAGGATTAACCGTATTGCAGGGATTTTCGGCCAAATTGTCCAAACTAATTTATTTCCAACTCAAACTGTTTCTTTCGTGAGAATGTCAAGATTTACTTTTATAGAAACTATTTAGAAATTAGTTAGTTTTGAGGATGGAAGAAATATTTTCACTCCGTCCTTCATCTTTCAATCGTTTATCATTTGATCAAAACTATTTATTTAAATGCCTTGGCAGGGAATTTGTAAACTATTAATGAGCCAGAACTTGTGTGGAGGGGGGGGGGGAAATTAGGGGGAAAATTGGGTCCTCATGGGGGAAAGGAAAGATAAGAATGAGAGGATAAATTAAGCGTATAATTGTACGAAAATAGAAACTATTTGTACACTGAAAATAAAACGGATTGTTTTTTTCCTCCATTTATATCCATTCGGGGATTTATACAGAGGATGGTGAATTAATTCAATAAATAAAATTGGTTCGGAGTATACGGAGCCAGGTCGGAGTAAGATGGATTATTATGCTCCGGATTAGATGGATAGTACTATAGAGCATACACTAGGGACCAGGAGGGATTAGGACTGTTTTCGTATGTGTAGGGATCCAGGATTACAGGATGTGTGTTTAGGGATTCTCAATGTTTGTGTTCCATTGATAGTTTGATTAAGGTTGTAGGTTTAAACCTTGCTAGAAGCAGGGATTTAACCAATTAACCGGCAAACTTTGAATACTCATCTATTGGTTTACAATAAAATATAGAGATACAGATTCATCATATTATATTCAATACTAAATGTTCAGGGGGGGGTTCTAACAAGAAAAATGTTTTCATAAATACATTTTAAATAATCTGTTAATTGTCAGATCAATTTCTTACAGAAGGTTGATTTTAATGGATTTAGACTGATAAACTAAACTCTGCGTAGAGTAGCCGGTTTCAGATTAAAATTTAGATAGATTAGGTAGACAACAATGTGTAGATTAGGTAGACAAGTATAGATTAGGTATACATGTATAGATTAGGTTGACAAGAATAGATTAGGTAGACAAGATCGGTAGAAAATTATGTGAAGAAAGATATAGACAGTAAAGCAAATAGAGTCAAATCTACTCAAATTGACCGTTGATATCAAATATCTTGATTTCTATAATTTGATACATTTAGATCCGTAAGTATATACCTATCTATCTATCTATAAATATATAAAAATATATTGAATTATCCAATTATAGTGTCTACAGTCTGAATACACACTGGGTTATTAAATAATCTTAGCAACGAAATTCAAATTGCATTCAGCTGATAAAAATAAATATCAAGGAAAAAAGGAAAAATAACAAACTGTATTGTTTTCAATCTGTTTTTAATAAAAAAGAATTAGCTCACCGTTTCTTCATAACTCTAGTAGATGATGGAGCCATACAGTTCACAGACATATCCATCTCTCCGTGCCTGTTACAGATGGCAATACTGAACCTGCCGAAGTTTGCTCTGATGATCTTGATCTTGTGATCCTCAGGACATGTTAGTTCCAATCTTTCACTCTCGCATTTGTAAGCTGTCTTGTATCTGGTTCCGTCAGGACCAACACCTGAAAAATTAAAAAATTTAAATCTGCAAGTTTTCGTTATTTTCAAAGCTATACACACAACAACATTCAGCGTCAATTAGATGTTTAAATTATTTGATATATGAGACTTCTGAAATGTCTGTAATACAAGCCTAATTTCGTAGTAAAAATATCCCTAAAATAAATTCCTAAAATTGATTGAGAAATCGTCTAAAAATTGGGCCGGGTGTCTTGTATCAAGGTTAAAAGCAAAGGACCGAAATCAATTCCAATAAATAGATAGATATTATCTTTTAAGTACTTTGAACAATGTGTCATTAAACGAAAGTATTTGTATGTAAAAATCATTAAATAAAATTGTGAAATGAAACCCTGAGTATCTGGAATGAGGAATGAACCTGCGGAATGAGGACGGAACCGAGCCTGGAATGAGGTTCAGAAAAGTCTAGGAATGAAAAGGATTGAAAAAGTGAGAGCTATGCAGACCCCATATTTAGTAAGTACTGGTAGCTATTCTTGGAATTCGCTGCAACGCGTTTTTGGCAAGGCAATACATCAGTTCTTTATCTTTCCCACAATAGGTCCGTCAGCGGTGAAACATGGGTCATACAACCATATTGCAGGGTTACAAGGGGGTGGTCTACACCGAACCAAAAACCCTCCAACCTTCCACCGGAAAGGAAGAGAATGGTGGAATATAAATGAGGTTTGAGAAACGTAAGGTTGGTTCTAATCACAATGGCTGCTGCAGGATGTATTCATGACAGAACTCAGAAGCTTTGAAAATTAAAATTTGGCCGAGTTAACAGCTTCTTTTCAATCTCAGACGTTCCAAGACCATTCGCTTAATTTTCAAAGCAAAATTTACCCCCCCCCCCTCTTCCTGCCGACCTTGAATAATATTTGTTAATCTAGAATTCATGAGAGAAGATTAGATTACTCTATTGGGTCACAGTTACCCCCAGTAATAACTTCTCCTAAACTGCACGAAGATAATCTGCGAAACTGCACGGAGAAAATCCGGGAGATTGTGAGGAGCAAATCTAGAAGATTGTGCGGAGAAAATCTTGGTGATAGAAGGATACTTGGCCAAGAATGATTATGATGCAAGCGTTTATGAATGGTGGATTAAAGGGTTGAGGGCACAATTATTGGGCTTCTGGGACAATTATGGTTACTCCAGGACATAGCGGGGCACCAAGCCAACAATTATACACCTAGACATAGACATAACATACACACATAAACTCACACACACTCACATACAGAACATTTGCTCATAAAATGTATTTAACCATCTGCCTATCTATCTCTGCCTGTAATTTCAATTTTGGCTTTATAACCTGTGTGTCTGTTCTCTCACTACCCAATTCTCTAGAAACCCCCCCCCCCCTGCCTGGACCCCCTCCTATCGTAATTACAACTGTAGGTATCTGCCCATCTGCCCTGTGCTGTCAGGAACCATTATTTCACACCAGAGTAACAATACATTACAGGCAAATTTTTTTATCCAACCCGGAGATTTCAATGCCGGGATGCGTCCTACTCAGGATGAGTTTTATAATTTACCTTCACTTTACTTTTATGCTGGCTAACCGTTTACTCTTTCAAAGGAATGACAAGGATAAAAAATTGAACATATATAATGTGTACGATTAGGTTTAGGAATTACAATCATAGAAAATGTAAAAATTAGTAAACTCAAGGCCTGAGAAAACAGGCAAAATTAAGACTAAACAAATTACAGGGTTTGTGAATGAAAAATAAAATGGGGTTTTTGAGTTGGTTTTGACGGGTTTTGATGTTTATTACTCCGGGTATGAGCCCCAGGTTGTAATATGTTTATGATAAGTCTGGGAACCCGAACCTAATTCTCCGATTGTCTCACCCAACCCCATCATATACAGGGGCCCATTATCAAATTGCGAGTGGGTGGGGGGGGGGGGCACAGCATGACAATTGATGTGAAGAGAGGAGGATGGGGTGGGGGGTAATGAATGATTTTATAGAAAATAAGAGAGTTATTGGAGGGTATGGGGTTGAGCGTAAATCATTACTGGATATAAAGGAAGGTCTGATTGAAACGATCCTCTTATTATCATCATGGTATAATTCTCATTTCTTATACAATCCTGCACATACAATACCTAGAGTACTTCTAGTGTTTGTAGGCTTATACAGATCATTTCCTCCCTCATCCTTCTTCTCAGAAACCATGAATATTATATGGTTCAATATTTCCAACCCCCCTTTAACCATTCTTTTATACAAGATAATCCATTCTTTTATATCCTATAATTTCCAGAATTTTATACCCCCCCCCCCACACCTCCACCCCTTGTACTAAGTAGTATAAAAAGCATAACGAAGCTTTTTTGCAAGTTTAGTAGTATATAAAGTTTGTGTGTGGGTTAATTAGTGCGTGTCTGTGAGAGTATTCGTGAATATAAAAATGTTGGTTTGCTAATTATCTTTCCCCCGTTCCTTAGTCATTATAATCATTAAAAACTTTCCCTTCAAGGAATCCGCCAAACTAAAAAAAAACCGCAAAAATAAAGTGCACTGTGATAAACTAAACATCTCGAGTATTTCGAGGCTAAAATGTTGACAATTTCCTGAAGGAATTTACCGCCAATTTACTGAGATAAGATAAGAAGTATATTAAAAAGGAACAGTCCGTGGTTTCAATGTCTAAAGGAGCCGACCCGACATTATATCATTTGATAAACGATTCTGAGAGATATTTAAACCTATTAAAGTCCTTCTTTAACCCCGTAAATTAGACAAGAATTATTAGTGGGCTTTCTTTTGTAATTAGGTTGAATCTGTCCCTAGGCCAAAACACAGATTGTTTATTCTAAAACATGAAACCAAGATGAAGAACATTAAAAAATACATTTTTTTTAAATTTACTTTTTAAATAATTGAACTCTAAACATAAAATAGAGTAATAATAAATAAAAGAAATAAAAGTAGTTAGATAATACAGGAGAGAGAGAGGTATAGAGCTAGAAACCTGGATCCCAAAGGACATATAAAGAACTTAACTCTGGTTACACAAGTAATCAAGCACCATTTTACCTTGGGGGGCCCTTATACATCTTACAGAGTGGGGAGGGGGGGTAAGGTTGGTGTGAAAAATGGGTAGGTTGGGGGGAGGGGGCAGGAAATTATATCAAGAGACGTGATATCTCTTTATGCTTTAGATAGAAAGATAGAGTAATATTAAAAAGTTATTTAGATAGATAGAGAGATAGATAGAACTAAGTTTTCGCATGTAGATGTATATAAAAGATAAGAAGGTTATAAATAGTATTAATATATAAGTTAAATAGGTATTCTAGATTAGGGGCTTAGGTTATATTGCCCAAATCTTCATAAAATTTCTCGATATTATTATTATATACTTTTTATTATTTTATCAACTTCATTTTTCAAACTGGGGGGGGGTTTACTTACAGATAGGCCTGTAAGATTCTATTGAATAAGATGGATAAAGAACATTCTGTGTATTCGCCACGGTTTAGCTTTTTGTTGTTAGTTTTGCTGAAATCCAAGAATTTAATTGTTTTATTTGCGCCAATTTTAGGAGGGGAATGAAGCATTCTTACGATTCAAAATTAGCCAGAGATTTGGTTTATAACAGCCTTTAGGTGTGTGGGGGGGGGTGCAATAAATGTGGATTGGAGTAATCTAAGGTTTGATTGGTTTTCATCTATTAATCCAAGCAACCGTAGATCTGACAAACGTTGAAACTAATAAAACAGATTTCGATTTTTGGATTATATACCAACCCCAACCCCCCTTGTCGTCAACCGTTCTGCCAGGAGACAAACAATTGATTGGAGATTTAAGAATGTAGAATTGTGTTTGTGTTGTTTTACGAGCCTCGTATTTGAATGTTGAACCCTTGACTATCTCGTAGATTATCTACAGCCAGAGTTATGGTCGTCGTCGCATTTGTGTCAGTAACCCCTTACTCACGCATACCTGGGTAAAATAGCTCTTTTCAGCAGGAAAAAATGAGGGAAATATTCTAAAAATCTTCCAAGATTAAAGTTTAAAAATCCGCAAAATGTTAATGAAAAACTGGGAAAACCTCCTTGGGGACACACTACACAGACAGATATGATATGAAAAAAGTTTCAACTTTTGTTCAAGTTTGCCCATTTTAATGGCGTGGTGTGTAGATGTAGATCTAAGGATTATTTAAAGATCCGTGGTGAATATAAAGGGGGTTTGCGGAGAGCATCACTTAATGATTAAAGGATTAAGGATGGGGGATTTTCCGGGATTTAAAGGATAAGTGCATATAATGAAAATCGATCCGTGAGAGAGAGAGAGGGGCTGGAACGAGAAGGAGAGAAGGAGAGAGAAGACGGATGTAGAGAGAGGAAGAGAGAAACAGATCAATGAATCCAATGATATGATTAACTCTCTCTATCGATCCCTATATTCGTTGATAAACAAGCCGTGTTCCGTTGAAAACATTATCAATCACATCGGAGAATGTGTTCACAATACGTAAACGAAATAAACCTCTTTCCCCGAAAAAGAAAACAATATGGTGAATATAATGCAGGGAAAAATGGGGAATTTTTACAGAAATATGAAACTGGGTTTCCGGGAACAATTATTAAAATTGACAAAGTGTCAGAAATAAGTTGGTTTGACACAGAATATATTTTAGCTAAATACTGGGACAGATGGGGTACATATGCACAGTGGGGGGGGGGGGGTAGGGTGTTAAATTTACTGGAGAGGGGGTTAAAGTAGGATTTAGAAGTACCGGTATAATTTACAACCCCCCCCCTTCCCCTCCCTTTTTCCTTAGTACATTCAAAATTGACAAATTTATGTTCCGTCAAATTTTTCGGGAAAATATTTTAAAGTTTCGAATTCTTCTTTTTCGATAATTGGGTAAAATTCTACAAAGTTTTCCAATAAAAACAATAATTTAAATTAAATCCTAAATCCTTAAATCCTCTCTCCCGACCAAATCTTCTATTTCAAAACTTGGAAAAGATAAAAGTTGGTTTTAATATTTTCTAACGGAGGAGATGTCAACAAGTTGAACCCATTCACTCAAAACTTTTCTCTTTTGAAAAAATGTAAGTAAAAGTAATATAAAATATAATATATATATATCTGGTTTAGTGTATCCCGGGGTAACATTGTTTAATTATATATCTTTAAATTAGAAACATGCAAATTTGTAGAACATCAACACTGGCGAAATTATCCCGCGGCGCAATTTCTACATGCAATTCCAACATTTTGCACATGAGCCAGACTTGCAAAACATGATGGATGTGTGCAAAAACATATCAATTGCACAATGAAACCTATTGAATACAATGGCACCTTTTATTTGCAAATTTCTTTCGAAAATAAAATTTTTGATTTTACCTCCAGGGAAAGGTGCAGGTACAGCGACTGGTACTGCGCCAGCAACACTGCAGTACAGTACAGCAGTACACAAAAACAATAGTTTCATTTTGAATTCTGTCTCTAGTTCACTGAGACCTAAGAAGCGTTGATATTTTCAAGCATAGTTTAGCGCTACGTTCACTCGACTAAATATTGTTTAGAACTGTTTATATCTCTTCTCTCTACCGTGGTCTAGAGAAAACTAACTCTAACCGGCCGGGGTTATGGGTATTCCGGCCGGTATTCTCAACCGTGACGGCCCCGGCCCCCTCCCCCCTCGGTCATTACAGGATTCAGCGGTCTAATAGCACTACAGGTATCTCCCCCCCCCGTACATCTAAGGACGGTGAAGGGGGAGGGGGGGTAAGGTTGGTGTGAAAAATGGGTAGGTTGGGGGGAGGGGGCAGGAAATTATATCAAGAGACGTGATATCTCTTTATGCTTTAGATAGAAAGATAGAGTAATATTAAAAAGTTATTTAGATAGATAGAGAGATAGATAGAACTAAGTTTTCGCATGTAGATGTATATAAAAGATAAGAAGGTTATAAATAGTATTAATATATAAGTTAAATAGGTATTCTAGATTAGGGGCTTAGGTTATATTGCCCAAATCTTCATAAAATTTCTCGATATTATTATTATATACTTTTTATTATTTTATCAACTTCATTTTTCAAACTGCAAAACCAGTGTCGTACGAGTACGCGTGCCCCCCCCCCCCCAAATCTGAGGGGGACATCGATATAAAAATGCTTTAAAATCTCACTTTTCCCTTTAACTAAAAAAGTTTCATTAAAAAGCTGTAATCAATAGTGCCTTCAGTGTAAATATATCTTTGATATCATTGTTTATAATAATAATACAATATGTATATCGTATGAAAATATAGATATTCTTTAAGAAACGTTTCCATTTCTATTTTTCACCCATTGAAGCTTACACCACAGTATTAAGAGGAAGTGTGTGATGAGTCCACATAAGAAAATTACATCAATAATTTATTAACACTTGTTATATGGACGTGTGTATATGATCGAATAGTTTACATAGTTAAAAAGGTATCAATATTTTTTCAAAAAGGGCGTTTTTAAGGGGGGGGGACAATGTTGACAAGGGGGGGGGGCAAAAAAAAATTTGCCCCCTCCCCCCTACACAAATTCTCTCGTACGCCCCTGATAACCTAAAGTTTAATTGTTTCACGTAAACATTTCAATCTAAAAACGTTAAATAATAAGTACAAAGAAGAATACGGAATCACTTTTTCGTTTAAAGCATCAAAAGAGCGCAAAGTCGAAAGGGTAACCCCTTGAATTAAGATTTGTTATGCATTTAATACATAATATCCAAATTATCATCTTTTCTTAATTTCTTGGTTCTAAAAAGTTATGTTTAAGAAAATTCTTTTGACACAACACCCAATTATTAGGGCCGGTTGGATTTAGAAATTTTTTAAAACAATTATAAAGAACGAAAATATCAATTTTTTTAAATCTGTTTTTTTTCTTTGGTATTAAATTATCATAAATGCAGACAATAAATGTCAAACTTCAACCCACTTATTTTATTTAAATGTATGGTTATTATAACCTCTGAATGTTTTAAATCAAAATAGAAGTGTAACATAAAATGTAAAATTTTGAAATGTGTCTACATGATGAGTGTCGAAAAGCGTTATAGAACGTTTTTTTGGGACACCCTGTATGTTTTTGAGACTTGACATATTTGAATGAATATCAAAAAACAATGAAATCAAGAAATGGTCCATCCAAAGTATTTAGATTGTTTTAAGCCAGGGTTTTGCAGGGTTAGATTAAAGTATTAGAGGTTGCGTGAGTTTTCCCACTCATACTTTACAATATTTCGACAGTTTCCTTTCTATTCCTGGTAGCACAGGCAGTTTGTGGTACTTCAGAAATATCTAAACAATTGATAGATATACAAAACAAAATCTGAACAAAAAAGCTTTAAACAAATTGATTGTTACGTAAGAGTAAGGACAATATTAACATTGACAGTTAAGAAATAGCATTCAAACTAATAATATAAAATAATAAGAATATGAAAAATATTAATAGTTTATAGAAAAAAAACTTTAACAAATTTTAATAGTGGAGAAATATTATCTAAACAAAAGTATTAATAGTTGCCGGGATAAGAAAGCGTAAAAATATCGTTAATTAAGAGAGGAAAATCTGAAATATTAATGGTTTAGGATAAACTCTAAACTTTTGATATCTAAAATATTGAGATTTAACAAAAAAGTTATTATATTAATCTAACAATATGATATAAAGCAGCTTTGAAGGAACATCTAAACTTGATAGTCAAAAAAATGCCAATGATGAGTAAAATTAAGAAATATTTATAGTTAAAAAAGTTATAGTTGAGAAAAATAATAAAAAACACTAAATAAAATGTTGAATATTTTGAAAAAAAAATCTGAAAGGTTGATCGTTAAAAGATAACATTAAAACATTAAATGTTAAGAAAGACCCTCTGAGCTTGAGGTTTTAAACTAATACTTTTAAACTGAATTCTGGATAATTCGCGGATTTTCAAAAAGAATTTCGCGCATTTTCAAAATTTTAAAAAATTTAATGACGATCGAATTTTGATGGAGACAAATATTTGAAATTTTGATGATTCATAAACCTTCCCTGGAGTCCCTTCCCCAGACTATGTACGTACATTGTACAACCCCATTCATGATGTATATCAAACTACGGGTTTTAGTTGGGTTGATTTCAATTTACCAACCATTTCTGGGATTAACAAACTCTATCAAATAAAAGGCTTCCTTTATCACCTTTCAGCTTTCTTAATTTATACCTTACAGGTTGTCCACTATAAAATTGAGACTTTTTTAGCCAGCTTATAATTAAAATAGCAAATCCACATATGGAAATAAATTTCTTTTCTTAATAATCTTAATCCTTAAACCTTTAGATGCATCAGTGTTCGTCTATTATCCGAGGAGGTTATAAGCATTAGATTTTAATAATTTTGATAATTTACATAATAGTTTCCTATGACCAGAATATTTCATTGATTTTTTTATGTAAAAGATGGATCCCATGTCAGGCTTCGACATCCGTGTTGTGTTTACATTACCGCCCAGGGACAGTACACTACACTACAAAAGATGCGTACACTTCTGAAATACCTTTCCTTGCATTACATCCTTGCCTCCCCCTGTCTACGCCTCTGTACATACAAAGCCAAAAAAAAAATATCTTGAATCAAAACAAAGTAAATTTGCAGGTCTAAAGAGAAAGCGAAAATGAGGACCAAGTAAAAAGTAAAATTACCACGTACACTTTTTGTAAATGCATTTCAATACTGATATCAATATAATTGTTTAGACAATCATATTTCATTCAATCAATCAATCATGTATCTTCGTCTCCATCCTGTAATCTTTCTAACACTTACGTAATCTTTCATATCTCCTCTCTCTAGAAATTACCAAGGACCAAGAATAGACGTATACACTATACAGGCCAAACATGAATACAAAAATAGACATTTTATCCATTTTAAGTGGGTTACTGGCGTCACAGAATTATTTTTACTCATTATTTTTCTAAAACACTATAGCTTATATTATCTAAAGCTTAATTAAGCTTTAAATCCTTTTTTAATCTTTCTCTATTTCAGTACTACTAACGGATTTTTAAAAATTATTTTAAACTCTCAAAAATCCATGTTCTGCCAAAAATTAAAGAACTGCTATGTAGGATTTTATCTTATAATATTTCTAAAAATTTAATTCCTTAGGAGGACCATTTTAATAGATAGCTATAAAACTAGACCTTCCTTAAAAACATCCACTCAGGTTTGGTCTATCTATCTATCCATCTATCTATCTATCTATCTATCTATCTATCTATCTATCTATCTATCTATCTATCTATCTATCTATCTATCTATCTATCTAACTAACTAACTATCTATCTATCTATCTATCCATCTATCTATCTGTATATCTATCTATCTATCTATCTATCTATCTATCTATATACCTGGGGGTATAATAAACAATGCCTCTATATGACAGGGGGGAGGGAGGATGAACGGACAGATTTTAAAATGAAACTAATTATGCTTTAAATAAGGTAAAAAGTAAACAATGGAGGAATAAAAAGCCGGAATATATAAAAAACTCCTTTGTATAAAGAATCTCTAATATTAAACGAAGGAAAATGTCGTTTCTGCGGTTTTGTATGAAGTGAGTCAACATTTAAAGCAGAGATTGCACATTAATTTATCTTTAGGGCCTACACCGGACCTTTTTAAGTCAAGGTTTTTGGGGATATTAGGGATATTAACGAGATTTAGGAATTGTGCGTATAAATGGACGGATTTAAAATAAAGAAAGATACATTTTTAAATTCCGAAAGAAGATAAAATCTTGCAGGGTGTTCAACAAAATTAGTTTTGTGTATTTTTTGAAAAAAATCTATCTAGAAAAAAAAAAATCTTAAATATATATTTTTAAAAATTTAGATTTCGATTAATTTAAATAAATACTAGGCTTTTTATTGTGGCTCTATCTGTGATCATCTTCTCTTAGTATATAAAACAATAATAAAAAATAGTTCGCGGATTTTCAAATATTTTTTGCGCAATTTTTAAAATTTCACAAAAATGAAAGCTTTTGGGTATAAACTTTTTGTATTTCTGAGCATCCATGAACTTTCCCTCGGATCATGCATGGTCCCACACAAAATTTTGGCCCGATCAGCTTAGACATTTTGACATTCAGATAAACGAACAGACAATTTTTAGATTTTTAAAAATTATAATTTTTAAAAACTCTTCTTGCTCCCTCGATGAAGATGTTGATGTATAGTATAAAAACGAGTGCGTGGCGAATACAAGGTTTATGCTAGTTTAAAGGGGTAATTTTACAGATTTATTATGTCATATTCTTTAAGGGCGTTTCCTCTGGCTTCAAGAACATTGTTTAAGTTTAATATTCTTGATTTACTGTTTTCTCCTCTTAATTAGGTTATAAAGTATAATAAACTTTATTTATATAAAATATTATAAAACATAATATATATATGATATAAACCTACGTACATTATATTTGTATTCAAACGAAACCACAAATAGAAAATTTCAACTTATGTGCAAAAGATTTTTACGTTAAAAGCAAGTTTAAGTGTATTTTTACAGCA